GCTCCCGGCCCACTGCAGCCTCGCCTGCTGGGCTCCGGCGATCCTTCCGCCTCAGCCTTCCGAGTAGCCAGAATTACAGGCGCGCGCTACCACACCCGGCTGACTTTTTGATTTATTGTAGAGATGAGGTCTCGCTGCCCAGGCGGGTCTCGAACCCGCGGGCCCAGGCAATCCACTCACCTCAGCCTCCCAAAGGCGCGAGATTACAGGCTGAGCCACCGAGCCCGGCTGGTCTTTTTTTTTAGAGTTGGAGTCTCACTCTTTGTCACCCAGGCTGGAGTGCAGTGGCATGCTCATGGCCACCATAGCCTCGACCTGCTGGACCCCGGTGATCCTTCCACCTACCTCAGCCTTCCAAGTAGCTGGAACTATAGACGCATGCCACCACACCCAGCTAGGTTTTTTTGGTGATTTATTGTAGAGATAAGGTCTCAACAAGTTGCCCCAGCTGGTTTCAAACCCCCAGGCTCAGGTAGTCCTCTCATCTCGGCCTCCCAAAGTGCTGGGATTACAGGCTGAGTCACGGTGCCCAGCCAGGATATGGTTCTTAACTTAAGTCACAGAGTCCTTTGGGAACAGGTTGGAAATCATGGACTGTCTCCCAAAAGAAATGGTATATATGGGCCAGGTATGTGCGGTGGCTCACCCATAATCCCAGCACTTTGGAAATCCAAGGCAAGAGGATTGCTTGAGGCCAGGAGTTTGAGACCAGACTGGACAATGTAGTAAGACCTCATTTCTAAAAAAATTTTTTTTTAAATTAGCTGGGTGTGGTGGTGCACGCCTGTAGACCCAACTACTCGGGAGAAGAATCACCTGAGCCCAGGAGGTTGAGGCTGTAGTGAGCTGTGATTGTGCCACTGCACGCTAGCCTGGGCAACAGAGGGGGACTCCAACTCATAAAAAAAATTTGTGTCTAACATTTAAAGATGTCCTGGGCCCCTGAAGCCCCGTGTCCTGAGTAAATTTCAGCCTGGCCTGCACATAAGTTGTAGGAGAATAAGTTGAGGTGAAGGTTGAGATTCCGTCCTGTAAACTGACTGTACAATATAAGCATAACATATTATAGTCATTATGATTATTCCTTTGTTACTGGCAATGTCACCCAGGTCCCCAGCACTAAACCAGTTTGATTCATTCCACCCTGGGGCAGAGAATGTCTTGTTCCCTGGTGTCAGGGAATTTGGTTTTCTTCTCATGCTCCAGATGACTCAGGGAATGGTCTTCTAGACTTCACAGTGTGATCCTAGGCTATCCCTGATAGAGGACGAAATGGCTCCAGGCTAGCCACCCGCAGAGGATGAATTCAGAGCTATGAATCCCATATCCTCCTGGTACTTCTTTGGGAACCTGAGGGTCTTTCCCTTCCTTTCCAAGACCCCCACCCTAAGGGTTGTTTGGGACTGAACCCCAGCCTCTTCCATCATTTTTCCAGCTGAGATAAAGCCCAGAAGCATCCTTCTCCCGCCATCACCCCCGTCTCAAACCTGCTTGAGTTAGTTGTTTTATGACTCACTATACTCCTTGGCTGTGGGTGTGAAAAATGAGCTCACCAGCATGCCCAGAGGGTCTGAGTCACAAGTGGAATGTCCTAGTCCGTTAAAACAGCCATCTCCATGGAGATACAGCCAGGCACCTGTGTTTAAGTTAGGAGCTTACTCAGGCCAGATGTGGAAACTGAAAATCCTGATGCTCAACACATCTTATCTCAGAGTTGTGGGAAAGTCCCTGCCCAGAACATCTGCTCTCCCTCAAGGGGCAGGTTTGTGTTGGATACACAGGGGTTTCTTGCCATCTGATATCTGTCCCTTGATCAGAGAGTTCCAATTACTTGCAGTTTATGAAGCTTCCACTCATTGGGTAAACAGTGGCGTTCCTGTGTAAACAGGTCATGCTGCCAGGTGGCTCTGACTGGGGAACCCCATTTGAAGATCTCTCAAGCATGTCTCCATGTTTTGTAGCCACAAAAACATTAAATATCAGCCCCAGAGATGACCTGCCTGAGGTAGGGAGAAGGGAGACTCAGTTTACTGAGCATGCCCACTGAGGGGCACAGAACTGTCAGCTCTGGGAGGGGAGAGTGTTGACCCCACTTCAGAAAAAGGATAGGAAAGGGCTCATGGTCCCAGAGCTGGGCCCAGATCTGCTCACCCCCAGCTAGGACTCTTCTCAGCTCATCTCCTTATGGGGCAGGCAGGGACTTGCTGGAGCTCATGGGCTCTGGACCCTGCGGTGCATACCTCTTCCCGGCTCTGAGGGCAGTTTGCAATCAGTCACTGTGGGAATGTTGACCTGTCAACTGAGAGCCAGTTATTAATTCTACCAGCCCACCACGGCCTTTGGACCTGCCCTCATATTCTCACCTGTGCTTGGAGGTCCTTGTTCCTCAACAGCTAAGCTGCCCTTTTAAACCCAGGGAGACAGGTAAATCTTAAACAGTCACTAACTGTGTGACTTTAAGAAAGGCACCTTATGTCATCTGCAAAGGCAGTGTCTGTTAAGTGAGGGTTGATGGCTGCCTTTCTCAGAGGGCATCATAGGCACTTACAATAGGCTTGGGTTGATCTTACGTTCTAGTCTAATTTTACGCTAGTCATTGATTTTTCCCACATGAAGGCCATTCACGGTGTGTCTCTCATTTCCTTTATTTATCTCGCACTTTGCCCTTTTTCAAGCAAACAGAGAACAGAATCTGGAGTTAGACAGGCCCCAGGGCCACTCTTGGCATACCTTGAGCGACGATGGTAATGACCAGCATTGATGGGTTGCTTACTAAGTGCTAGATAGATCATCTAAGTGATTGGCATATTCAGGCATTTTTGCTGTGACACAGTATATGTCATCTTGAAAACCCTTGCCTTCTGCTCAAAATAACACGACTTGGGGCGAATAAGGACAAGAGTACACCTGAAGTTATGTGACTTTGGCTGGGGACGGTATGCTAAGTGAAATAAGCCCATCACCAGAGGACAGATCCTGTTGATTCTGTATATATGAGGTCTCTGGAGCAGTCAGATTTGTACAGACTGAATGTAGCAAGGTGGTTTCTAGCAGCAGGGGGTGAGGCAGTGGGAAGTTGCTGTCTAATGGGTACAGACTTTGCCATTTTACAAGATGAGACCTGTGGACAGATAGTGGTGATGGTAGCACAGCATATGAATGGACTTAAGGCCCCTGGATGATACTCTTTTTTTGCCTTTTGAGTCAGCGTGTCACTCTGTTGCCCAGACTGGAGTGCAGTGGCATGCTCACGGCCACTGCAGCCTCACCTGCTGGGGCAAGGCGATCCTTCCACCACAACCTTCCAAGTAGCTGGAACCACAGATATGCACCACCATGCCCGGCTAATTTTTTGATTTATCGTAGAGACGCGATCTCACCATGTTGCTCAGGCTGGTCTTGAACCCCTGGGCTCAGGCAATCCTCTCGCTTCCACCTCGCAAAGTGCTGGGATTACAAGTATCAACCACCGCGCCCGTCTAGAATGGTACTCTTAAACATGGTTAAGATAGTACATTTTATGTGTATGTATTTTATCACAATTGTTTTTTGAGTTGGGGTGTCATTCTGTTGCCCGGTCTGGAGTGCAGTGGCATGATCACAGCTCACCACAGCCTCAACCTCCTGAGCTCAGGTGATCCTTCCACCTCAGCCTCCCAAGTAACTGGGACTACAGACATATACCACCATGCCCAGCTAATTTTTTTTATTTTTGTAGAGACAGGGTCTTGCTATGTTGCCTAGGTTTGTCTTGAACTCCTGGACTCAAGTGATCCTCTTGCCTTGGCCTCTCAAAGTGCTGGGATTAAAGACATGAGCCTCTGTGCCCAGCTTTGATCACAGGTTTTAAAAAATTGTATAGCTTTGTAATCAGCACCCTAACCAAACAATGGCTGAACCCTTGGGAAGTAGCTCAGCAGTGCTGGAGGCTGCCTCGGGAAAAGGACTGGCCGGGAGGTGCTGGCCGTGGACACTAAGCCCTGTGGATAGACAAGGAGTTCTGAGCAGCAGACAACTTTGGGGCAGCCAAGGACAAAGTATGGCCTGCTGGAGGCTGAGAGTTGCAGGGCTGTGTGAGGAGGAAGCCAGCCCCGGGTACAAGTGCCCATTTTCAGTCACTTCAGGGCGAGCTGACCAGCCTCCCATGTGCGTGGGCTGAGCTGAGGGTTTGTCCTCCAGAGCCCATGCTTGAGAAACATCACCTGCAGACCTATGTGGTGCGTGCATATACTCTATCGTCCTGAATTTGCCAGTCACACAGACGTGAATTGGTGTTTCAGGAGCCTACATTGAGTAGAACAGACAGCACCAGCTCGTTCAGTCCTCACCATAACCCGATGGGGCAGGTTGTGTTTTTATGGTGATCCTCATATTTCCGATGAGAAACCAAGGCTCAGAGGGGTTCACTGACTTACTCAAAGTTGCAGTGAGTAAGAGAGCAAGAATGTGAGGCAAGACTGTCTGGCTGCAGATTCTACATGCTTAACTGTTAGGAGCCTGGCTGAAGCTCGGTCTCTTCATCGGGATCATAATGCCTACTGCTTGGCTCTCGTGAGGACCAACTGGGATAATAACACGTGGGTCTTCCAAGATGGCTCCTGGCACCCAGGAGGCACTTGGTGAATGGTAGCTGTGGCTTTTGCCACCGTGTTGCGTCTTTCCTTTTTCAATTTTTTTTTCCATATCAAGTTACATTTGGGTGTTGGACTCCTTAGAATTCTGCCTACAGATGCCCTAACAGGAGTCAGGCAGCCTCTGTTTGACCATCTGCCCGGTACACTGTCAGACAGCACCACAGCACGGTGATGCCTTCTGCAGAGACCACCCTGGGGACCCTGGCTGTGAGAGAAGCAGCCCAGAGCGTCACATTGTCCCCTTTCCTCGCAGACCCTCGCACCCGCCATCAACTGGCTGCCATTTCTCAATACCATCTTCTACCCCGTGGAGATCAATGAATCTGAGCCTATTGTGGTCTACGACAAGGAATACCTTGAGCAGGTCTCCACACTCATCAACAACACTGACAAATGGTAAGGGACCTGGGGCATGCCTCTTACAAACAGCCCCCTTCTCAGGCAGGGTGGGCGGGACTGGGGAGTGCCAAGCTGACTCGGGAAGATGGGCCCCGAGGCAGGCTCTTAGGAGAGGGAACAGGGCATCCTGGTTAAAGGCATAGGTTCAAATTCCAGCTGTTTCCTACCAGCTCTGTTGCCTTGGGCAAACTTTTTTTTTTTTTTGAATCAGAGTCTCACTCTGTCGCCCAGGCTGAAGTAGGGTGGCACACTCACAGCCACTGCAGCCTTGACCTGCTGGGCTCAGGTGATGCTTCTGCCTCAGCCTTCCAAGTACTTGGAATTACAGGCACGCGCCACCATGCCTGGCTAATTTTTTGATGTATTTATAGAGATGAGGTCTTGCCAAGTTGCCCAGGCTGGTCTCAAACCTGTGGGCTCAGGCATTCCTCTTAAAAGTGCTCCCAAAGTGCTGGTATTACATGCATGAGCCACCACACCTGGCCCCTTCTCATCCTTTTTAAGGTTCATTTTCCTCATCCATAAAATGGGGATACAGATAGCACCCGCTGAGTAGGGGTACTGTGAAAATCAAGTGAAGTGGTCCACGGGACGGGTCTTAACACAGGGCCTGACACCTCATGGGATCCATAAATGTCAGCCAGTGTTTGTAGTTAATATTTTTTATAATTTTTTCTATTTTTCTGAGTTGGAGTCTCACTCTGTTGCCCAGGCTGGAGTGCAGTGGCACGCAGCTGTGCCCTAGTGTCAACCTGCTGGGCTCAGGCTCTCCTTCCACCTCAGCCTTCCCAGTAGCCGGAACTATAGGCATGTGCTACCACACCCAGCTAATTTTTTGATTTATTGTAGAGGTGAGGTCTTGCCAATTTGCCCAGGCTGGTCTCGAACCCGTGAGCTCAGGCGATCCTCTCGCCTCTGCCTTCCAAAGTGCTGGGATTACAGGCTTAAGCCTCCTGCACAGTATTTCTATTGGGTATAAATAGGGTTATTTACTTACCCCCTCCTCCTGTTGTCAGACATTTTGGTTGATTCTGATTAGAAGGTGGTGTTCACTGTAGTAAACATCTTTGGGCTAAGGTGTACCTCCTTTGTTCCCTGTGCCCTGGGGGTGGGGCAGAGGGAACTGTCATCATGGAAACCTCTGCCTGGCTGGCCAGAGCCTCCCTGCCCTCCTGTTTCTAGGCTCCACTCCCCATCTGTGGCCTTCTGACTAAGGCATCTCCAAGCTGTGGAGATGACTGCCTCCTCCCCACCCCAGCCCTGTGGATGAGTCTCCATGCTGGGGTGTCACAGATTCCAGACACAAAGCAACAAGGAGGCAACAAGCATTTATTGAGCACCTCTGGTGTACAAGTGATTGCACTAGGCAGTGAGGGGTTTTCTGTTGTAGAAGGCACAGGATTTTCCCTTGAAGAGCTTCCGTTCCATGGGATTAGAGAGCAGTAACCAGGCAAACCCCCAGGGCAGGCTGGGAAAGAGCCTGGGTTGGCAGGTCGGGTGTAAGAGCCCCCTAGAGGTCAGCGGGGGAAGTGCTGCGGCACCTCCAACCCCAGGTGACTTCCAACCCTCCCCCACCCCCCACCCCTGACTGAGCCTGCCTGCCTCATGTCCCCACAGCCTCCTCAATAACTACATGATCTGGAACCTGGTGCGGAAAACAAGTTCCTTCCTCGATCGGCGCTTTCAGGACGCCGATGAGAAGTTCATGGAAGTCATGTATGGGACCAAGAAGGTGAGCCTGTTACGGTGCATTCCCGTACACGTGCTGAGCACTTACTGTGTGCCAGGCCCATGGTACCCTCCCAGGGCCAAGGAACACGTGAGGAACGCAGATGACAGGGAGAGAACTGAGACAGCCCCTGGAGCGTCCTGCCCAGGTGTCCGGGGTAGCACAGGAAGGCGCCTAAGCCGATCGGGGTGGCAGAACCTTCTATAAGGAGGTGATTATGCCATGTCAAAGGGGAAAGAGGAGTCTTAGCAGCTTGGCTACTTTACAGCACAGGGTAGTTTCTGCTTTTTCCCTTCCCTCCTCGATGGTGGTGGTGATAACGCTTTCCTTGAGCAACTCGTGGGAGACTCACAGCCCTGTGAGATAGGTACTTCGCACAGGGACCCCCCAATAATATTCCTTCCTCAGAAACAGAAACCACACAGAACAGCACTAGCTCACGGTAAGTATGACATGGTGTTCAGTGTTGGTATTTTCCTCCTGGTTTGTGTCTGGAGAGCCAGAGCCTGAGACTTTCGGGTGTAGCTGAATTCCCAGACCCCAGACCTGGTGGGCTCTACCTACCTTTCAATGCCCTACCCTGAGGGTTCATTCTTCCAGAGGTGTCAGGGCCCTTCCCTGCCCTCCCCCTGGGGAATCCATCCCCAGTAGAAAATCCTGTAGCCTCCTCCACCTCCTCCCCAAGGAAGCGGCTGTCACCCTCACTCGTGCAGCAGCAGGTGGTTACTCACTGAACTCCTGCCACGTGTGCCAGACTGAGCCCAGTGTGGGAATGCAGAGACAGTGAGATAGGGTCCATGCCCCAGAGCACCACCTGTTGAGGCCAGTGAGGGGACCTGACCAGTCCTCACGTGCTGGTGGGTACACCAAGGCTGGGCCCCAAATACAGAGCCAAGAGGCTGGGTTGCCACACTTGCATGGCACACCCTGGCCTTACCCAGGATAGCAAGACCCCAGGGGGCAGGCAGAGCAGACTCCAGCTGGACCCTGCCCCTAATGCCACTCCCAGAGTCCTCCAGAGTAGAATGGGCGGGGCCAGATCAAAGGATTGGCAGAGAATGGCACTCTTGTCATCTCCCATTTTACAGATGAGGTGACTGAGGTTCAGATGGGGCACTCATTCATTGTCGCTCGTAATTGGAGGGGGGCTCTGGAACCCAGCATGTTTGATCCCATAGCCCATACCCCTAAGTGCTCACCACACCACTCTGTGGGCACCAAAAGTTAAAACTGAGCTTCATCGTGACTGCCAGGGCTGAGATGGGATGAGAGGGATGAGGAGTGAGCAGAGCGCTTCAGATTGGCAAGATGAAAAAATTTTGCAAATTGGTTTGTTCCAAAACCATGTGAACATTCCTTTTTTTTTTTTTAAGTTGGAGTCACACTCTGTCACCCAAGGTAGAGTGCAGTGGCACACTCATGGCCACCCCAGCGTCAACCCGCTGGGCTCCGGAGATCCTTCTGCCTCAACCTTCCAACTAGCTGTAACTAGAGGCACCCGCTACTACGCCCGGCTAATTTTTTGTTTATTGTAGAGACGAGGTCTCGCCAAATTGCCCAGGCTGGTCTCGAACTCGTGGGCTCAGGCAATCCACTCACCTCAGCCTCCCAAAGTGCTGGGATTATAGGCTGAGCCACTGAGCCTGGCCAATGTGAACATTCTTAACACTACTGTACTAAAATGGTTAAGATGGGCCAGGCATGGTAACTAATCCCTGCTCTGCTTACCTGAAGGTTGTCTAGGACTGTGTTTGGGGATCCCTTTAAGGTCTGCCCTGCATGGCTATTTATCATCAATTATTGTCCATTTAAGATTTGAGACTTCTGGCAGGGAAGAAGGAACCGTTGCTTGGTGCTTCTTGTATTATAGTAAGAAAGAGTTTAAAGGTATCAATTCAGCCAGTTGCGGTCGAGGAGACTGGCTGCTCCTTGTTTCATAACTTGACTCATGGGTCACCCCTGAGATGGATGTTCCCTGACCTTTGCTCCTTTTGAAAACTTTTCTGGTCATCCTGTAGCACTCCCAGGGGCTTTGTGACTTGTCTACAGTGAGTGTGGTTCTTTGAGGGAAGACATTGAAGCTAGACTTGGGTTAAATCCCACCTCAATCACTTGCTCCCTGGATAGTCTCCTTGGGCAAGTAATTTCACCTCTCTGCCTCAGTTTTTCATCTGCAAAATGAACAAAGAGAAGTCTGCCTTGTACTGTTATTCTTTTTTTTTTTTTTTTTTTTTGAGTTGGAATTTCGCTCTATTGCCCAGGCTAGAATACAGCCTACCATAACCTCAACCTCCTAGACTCAGGCGATCCTTTAATCTCAGCCTTCCAAGTAACTGGAACTATAGGTTTGTGCCACCATACCCGGCTAATTTTTCTTTATTGTAGAGATGAGATCTCACCAAGTTGCCCAGGCTGAACTCGAACCCCTGGGCTCAGGCAGTCCTCTCGCCTCAGCCTCCCAAAGTTCTGGGATTACAGGAGTAAGCCGCCACGCCCGGCTGTACCGTTATTCTTAGCATTCTGTGGGTTAGGGCCCGGCACGTGGTAGATATTAACCCTTCACGACTGTTACTGCTGTCGATGTTATAATTACATGTGTGTCTCTCACTGGATGTTCTAGGCTTGTCGACTGAGTCCCTTGAATGCAGACTTACTGTTGATTCATCTCTAGATCCCAAGGCCTAGCCCAGGGGAGCTGCTCAGAGAACCCTGGGAGCATAGCTGAATGAATGCACGTGTGAATGAATGGGTTTATCTAAACGTCTCCTGAGGAGACCATGCACATGAGTCTGTGATTCCGGCATCACAGCGCGGGGCTCCATGGAGCCTTAGAGGCCCTCTAGTCCTGACTTGCGGTGTGGTCGGCCTTGGGCTCACACAGACTGTCTGGTGACAGACTTCACAACTAAGGAAGGACCCACGGGGGAGCAGGGAGGCAGAAGCAGGCATCCAAGTAGACATGCAGTTGGGAAAGCGAAAAAGAACTTTGGTGACTAGACTTGGAGAAGGCTGGAGTGCCTCTTCCTCCCTGCCTTCTTTCTTGTTCGGGAGACATTTTTAACTAAGGTATAATTTACATTCAATAAAATATGCAGTATACATTAAGTCTACAGTTCAGTGAGTTTTTTGTTTGCTTGTTTGTTTGTTTAAGAGTTGAAGTCTCACTCTGTTGCCCAGGCTGGAGTGCAGTGGCACACTCACGGCCATCCCTGCGTCGACCTGCTGGTCTCAGGCGATCCTTCTGCCTCAGCCTTCCAAGTAGCCGGAACCACAGGCGCGCGCTACCATGCCCAGCTAATGTTTGTTTTTTAGAGACAGGGTGTCACTCTGTTGCCCAGGCTAGAGGGCAGTGGTGTAATCAGAGTTCACTATAACCTTGAGCTCCTGGGCTCAAGCAATCCTCCTGCCTTAGCCTCCCAAGTAAATGGGACTACAGGCGTGCACCACCAGGCCCAGCTAATTTTTAAATTTTGTTTTTTTTAGAGATGGGGGTGGTCTCAGTATTTTGCCCAGGCTGGTCTCAAACACCTGCGCTTAATGAACCTCCTACCTCGGCCTCCCAAAGTGCTGAGATTACAGGCACGAGCCACTTCTCCCAGCCTAGTTCATTCCTTTGTGTTGCCAAGTAGAATGTTGCTGTATAAAAACACCACATTTTGTTTATTCATCTGCCTGTCGATGAGCATCTGGGCCGCTGTCGCTTTAGGGCCATAATCAGGCTGCCCTGAGCGTGGGTGGTTGCTACCACCTGGTCTCTGGGGCTAAGAGGATGCCGGCTTGTTTGGCAGCACGAGGGCTTGACGTGAGCAGGGCCACCACACGTGGTCGTACACACTACCCACGGAGGGATGCCTGGGCAGGGGAGCCCCTGGGTCTGACACCAGCTGGGGCACTTGTCACTGGGCCAGGTCCCAGGAGACTGCAGCCCATGGGACACCCGTTTCTGGTTGGGCCCAGAGGCATTTTATGGTCTAGTGGGGCTCGTGGGTGAGACCCAGGAAGGACCAATGTGTCACAACCCTGCAGGATTGCTGTTGTTCTCTCTGGAGGAAACCGTCAATGCGCATGGGGCCCTGGCCTTCCGGGAGACTTTTCCTGTAGCTCAGGGTAGAAAGGGAACATCCATGGCTCCTTGTCGCCAGGAGTCCCCAGGAGGCAGGCAGGACGAGGTCAGGTAGAAAGGATCAGAGTGTGGAGTCAGGCATATCTCCGTTCCCATCCCAGCAACACCTGTCACTCGTGGGGGACCCTGGCCTGGTGACTACTTGCTCCTGAATTTTTTCCTCATCTGTCAGACAGCTCGTACGCCTATATCCCTAGTCCCTTCATGGTTCAACGGGACACTGTCTGTGACATCCCCAGCACAGAGTCTGGACTCCGGAAGTGGCAGGTGGTGGTGATGAGAGGTATCCATGGCCTTTGGGTCCAATGCCTAAAATAACTCCCACTGGGTCAGAGAGTTCTCCCTGAAGTTCCAGGGGGAAGCACGGGCCCCAGATGGCGCTGCCTCCCGACAGAAAGGAGGCAGGAGAAGCAGCACTGGGGCCCACTGAGCGCCCCTACCTGTGTTTTCCAGACCTGCCTTCCTCGGTGGAAGTTTTGTGTGAGTGACACGGAAAACAACCTGGGCTTTGCCCTGGGCCCCATGTTTGTCAAAGCGACCTTCGCAGAGGACAGCAAAGACATAGTAAGTGCCTCCCCCATGGACACAGGCCATGAGGTCACACCTGCCATGGCCCCCTGTGGCCCCTGCTCTGGCCTGTCCTGGGCCTTTCCTTCTCCAGGCCAGAGGACCTCAGGCCTCCAGCTGTAACTCAGAGGGCCCATTTTGTCCATCCCTGAGTGACGTGAGTCATTCTTGATGGCTGTTGTGACCCAGTGCCGGATCCTTCATCTGAACTACCTCATGTGATCCTCCCAGTAGCCCACAAGGCTGTGACAGCCATCCCCACCTCCCAGGGCTGCGAACCACCCAGAAAGATCATGTCGGCAGAGCAGCACTGGCCTGGAGGGTGACCCTTTGCTTATTCTGCGGGTAACAAGTTCGTTCTAGAAGGGCCGAGGAATGTTACGGCAAGTGCCATGGAGACAGTCAGGCCCAGGCTCAGGTCCTGGCCTCACCACTGGTCGGGGGACCTGGGACAGTATTCTTACCTCACTGGTAACTGGAGGTGACGGTGTTCCTCCTGCAGAAGGAGATTGAATGAGATGCCACACATCAAGAGTACCTGGCACAAAAGAAGTGCTCCATAAATGGCAGCTGTCATATTAGTGTCATAGTTTTGATTGCAAATAGATTTAATTATGCAGATGCTGTCTGCAGTGGAAGACTAGCCAGCTGCGACTCCAACCTGTGACCATGATGGGCCCATGGGCAGCAAAGCAGGGTCTGAGTGGAGCCCTTGGTGCCACCCGGCTCTGCCTTCCCCTCTCCAGAATCTTCGACCGTCTATCTTCGGCCTCCAGGTCTGCCTGTGACATTGTCACCCTTGAGACAGGCTGTTCATCACCAACCTGAGCATGGCATTTCTTAAACTGCTCCCCAGAACTCGAGGTCTCTGGATTTTAAAGCCCATTTCATCAAAAAGGAATTCTGTGGTCCAGCAAGTCTGGGAGAGGCTCTGTATTCCAGCCCTGTCCCAAAGAACCTCAGTGCCTGTTACCACATTAAAGGATCTGAAAAGTCCTACAGCAAAGAGTCTTTCCCAGGTTTCCCAAAGCGCATGCTGTGCATATTTGACTGTGGAGCTCTGTGTGTAAAAGGGCCAGTCTTGTTTTGCAGATGTTGGTATTAGGAACGTAGTTAGGAAACACAGGTGTGGCTCCCCTTCTCAGCTCAGCTTGAGGCTTTGCGCCAACGGGGAGTTTAGCCTCCAACCCTACATTATCCTTGTGCACAGCGGCGCCTACAGCACTTAGGCGAGGCCAGTGCCCTGACCTGACTGGTGCAACGTCTGTCCCCTCAGGCCACTGAGATAATCCTGGAGATCAAGAAGGCATTTGAGGAGAGCCTGAGCACCCTGAAGTGGATGGATGAAGAGACCCGGAAGTCAGCCAAGGAAAAGGTGAGGCTGGCCGGGCGCCACAGGGGATTGCCAGGTCTCCAGCACAAGGGCAGCAGTCACAGGCAGGAGGGCAGGTGGAGGAGAGACTAGTTCATGCGGGGAGCCCCGCCTGGGTGCGATCCTGCCTTCAAGTCTAGCAGGACGGAGGGACAGCCTCGGGCACTTGCTGCAGGAAGGACTATAGAAGACACCTGAGTGTGCGAGGGAAACGCTGGGGGGGGGGGGGGGGGATGAGGCATGTCCCATAGTTTATGATGATCAGGGAGATGGATGTCCCATGAGGGATCAGGGAGATGCAGGGTGCCCCACGGGGAATGAATGGTCAGGGAGACATGGGGTGTCCTATAAGGGGTCAGGGAGACATCAGGTATCCCATGAGGGGTCGGGGATGCGGAGTATCCCACAGGGTGTGAGGGTCAAGGAGATGTGGCACGTCCCATGGGGCGCGAGCAGTCTGGGCTGGGGTCAGAAAAGTCTTCCCTTGGGGATGTGACGTTTAAGCAGAGGTGTGGGATTAATAGAAGTTAGGCAAGGGGAACCTTTCCAGAGAGAGGCATGGCAGCCCTGAGGCAGGGGAGCCGGGTACTGTTCGCCTTGGCCCAGACTCTGAGCCTGGTACTCTCAGAGCTGGGCCAGCCTAGCTGACGCCACTGGGCACTCACCCCCTCTGTGTCCCCTGTCCAGGCGGATGCCATCTACAACATGATAGGCTACCCCAACTTCATCATGGACCCCAAGGAGCTGGACAAAGTATTCAATGACGTGAGTGGCCACCACCCTGTCCCCTTGTGTCCCCATACGCCCCCAAGGGAAAGGGCCGAGGCAGGCCGGGTCCAGATGGGGGGCTGGAGGCAGCGTGGTTGGCAGAACACTGAGGGATGCTGTGGGGTGGGGTCTGGGCTAGGTCAGGTGGAGGAAGCCATTCCCTGCTCTGTCAGCTCCTGGGTCAGCTGGCGCCCTGTCTTCCTGCAGCCTCCGCTGGCTAGCACCCTGCGTCAATGCCTGAACACGGGCTGTGTGCCCTGCTGCGGGTGGTCGGCTGCATTTCACGAGTGAGGAGTAACGGGGGAAGAGAGAGAATGGCGGCCCCAGGGCATCATGGGAGTGGGACATATGGTGGAGGCCCCCATGCCGCCTCCTCCCTTCTGGTCCTGTCTCCAGCATTGCCCCTGTCCCCGGGGTCCTGTTCCAGAGAAACCTCTGATTTTGACCTTGAGATAACTGCTGATGGGAGAGAGAAAGCATAAACCCCAAATACATGTTTGTGCTCAGCTTGGGCAGAGGGGCAGCTGGTATATCCCCGCGGGTGAGACCGCTTGGCAAATCGCTCCTTCAGCGCTTGGTGCCTCCAATGTTGTATATCTTCTTGTGAATGAAATGTGTGAATTTTGACATTTAAAAAATTTCAACAACCTCCCATCAAGGTTTTATTTAAAACCTAAGAATATTAAAATTACTTCTGGCTGGGCACAGTGGCTCACACATGTAATCCCAGTCATCTGGGAGGACATGGTGGGAGGATCACTTGAATCCAGGAGTTCGAGACCAGCCTGGGCAACATAGCGAGACCTCATCTCTACAAAAAAAGTAAAAAATAAGCTGGATATGGTGGCATGTGCCTGTAACCCCAGCTACTCAGGAGGCTGAGGCAGAAGGATCACTTGAGCCCAGGAGGTAGAAGCTGCAATGGCCTTGATTGTTGTGACCATGCCACTCTACTCCAGCCTAGGCGACAGAGTGAGACCCCAACTCAGGAAAAAAAAATTACTTCTGAGAACAGGAGGCTCATTCTGCAGCCTTTTCCTTGAGAATAATTTGAACTGGTGTTAAGTGATACAAGATCCTTGGGCTCTCGGGGCAGTCCAGGCAAGGTCTGGGATCAGTGTCCTGCCCGTGAGGGTCCAGCATCTTACCAGAGCCCTGGGGTAAGGCCAGAGGGGTCTGAAGTGGATCTGAGGTGGCCTTGATGTTGCCAAGAGCTCAGCAACTATGCTGAGTGGGGTTAGGGTGCGCAATGGTGCCTGACCTAGTGACGCTCAGAGGCGGAGTCCAGTTTAATGGGTCAGTGGGAATAATACTAGTGGTAGCTACTAGCCACAGGCAACTGTTTAATTAATGGCAATTAAGTTAGGAAGGCACATTTGAAATGCTCAGTAGCCTTCGTGGCTGGTATCTGCCATACCAGGCAGCACCGACATAGAACACGCTGCTTGTCACAGAAGATTCTATTGGACAGCGCGGGGGATGTTTCTTGCCTAGACCCAGGTGTTGCCCCAGTGAACCCTGCAGTGCTGTGACACCATCCGGCACCCCTGGGTGAGGCTCTCAGTGCGTCCTTGAAGGGGAGCATTACTGCCAGGCCCCAGCAACATGGAGGCCACAGGAGGAACCTGAGCCCCCAAACCTCTGTTCTCGTCTCTGGCCTGCAGGCCAGCCCTAACCTCGACAGGCCTGTTTCCTCACCCAAGAATGTGCCTCCCTGCCTGGGCACGCTCTGACCCGTGGCTCTGTCTCCTCTCTTCCAGTACACCGCGGTTCCAGACCTCTACTTTGAGAATGCCATGCGCTTTTTCAACTTCTCATGGAGGGTCACTGCCGACCAGCTCAGGAAAGCCCCCAACAGAGACCAGTGAGTCCCTGGGCCCACGTGTGTGGGGGTGTGCTGGACTGAGCTTGCCTCCCTTGCTCGCCTGTTGTGTGCCAGATACAACTGTCATGACAGCACCTAGGGAGTGGGCACTGTTGTTATCCCACTTTTCAGATGAAGAACCAAGGGCCCAGCCAGGAGCTGGGGTGGGTGCCCCCAGCGCCCAGCTGGTTGCGGGAGGTGAGCCTGGCCTCTGGAGCTGAGTTGACCTGGCACCTCATCCCAGCTCCACCACTTCAGCATTCAGAGCCTTCATTTCACTGTCTGCAAATCAGGATGGGAGTGCTGGCTCTTGGGTCATTGTGGCAGGGGACCTCCAGGGAGCATCGGACCCAGAGGAGGCTCTCGGCAAGGGCCAGTTTCTCCTCGTTCTTCATGAACAGGTGTGGTGGTGTCTCAGGACAGGTCCTGCACAGAGGCCTGGGGAAGGTTCTGGATGGGCCTGACAGTTGTGGTTCCCAAACCTCATGCACATCAGAATCCTGGGGAACTTTTTCAAAAATATCCCCTCCTGGTCTTGAATCAGAATTATCTGGAATGAGTCCTGGAATCTGTCCTTTCTTAAGCTGTCTCCTCAGAAAAGTCAGAGGTAGCCCAGTGCTGGTCCTCAGACTAATCTTCCTCCATTCCTTAGTGCAGACATTTGTGATAAATGTTACCAAAAGGTGGAAGCAACTTCTCTTTGCCTCTGGCGCCCCCTGGTGGACATCAGGAGTTCCGACATCTCTGTTTCCTCTAAGTTTCCCATCTTCAACCAGAGGAAGGTGGGCTTTTACCTTCAGAATATGGCACAGGTGCTGTTGCCAATTTATCTGAAGTTCTTTAATTTAGCTGAAAATCTCTCATTTACATTTTTCTCCTACCCATGGATGTATTTGTCATTCCTTAATATGCATATGTTTTAAATTTTTCAGTATCTTTTCATGGCTTTGGGGCACCCCTTCACACATCTCTGTGGGGCTTACCTGGAGGCTGAAGGGACTATTGAGGCTCCTGGAGAAAATGTCATTTTCAACTCGCTGCATTCCTCTCTAGCCTTGGCCCTCTGCATCAGAAAAGTCACTAAAATGCCAAGTAGCTCATTACTCCATACCGTTACTTTCTAACTTTTTGGTCTCAGAACACTTTACCCTCTTAAAAAATTATTGGGCCCAAGAAGCTTCTTTTTTATGTGGATTATACTTTTTTTTTTTTGTTTTTGAGTTGGAGTCTCACTTCATTGCCCAGGTTGGAGGGCCGTGACACACTCATGGCCACCCCAGTGTCGACCTCCTGGGCTCTGGCGATTCTTCCGCTTCGGTCTTCCAAGTAGCCGGAACTACCGGCGTGCACTACCACACCCAGCTAATTTTTTTATTGTAGAGATGAGGTCTTGCCAAGTTGCTCAGGCTAGTCTCGAACCCACGGACTCAGGCAATCCACTACTCGCCTCAGCCTCCCAAAATGCTGGGATTACAAGCTGAGCCACTGAGCCCGTACTTATACTAATTTTTATAAAAATCTTATGAAAAATAACTTTGGAAAAAATTAATGAGAAGAGACATACTGTTTTATATTTTGCAAATGTCTGGTTTGATTGAAGACAGCAAGATTCTTATCTGCTTCTGCATTCAATCTGTTGAAGTATGTTGTTGTGAAATATATAAAGAAAATTTAACCTCACACAGATATGTGACTGGAAAAGGGAGGAGTTTTTTGTTGTTTTTTTTTTTGAGTTGAAGTCTCACTCTCTCACCCAGGCTGGAGTGCAATGGCACACTCACAGCTACTGCAGCCTCAACCGAGGCGATCCTTCCAACTCAGCCTTCCAAATACCTGGAACTATAGGTGTGCACCACCATACCCGGCTAATTTTTTGATTTACTGTAGAAACAAGGTCTCGCCGAATTGCCCAGGCTGGTCTCGAACCCCTGGGCTCAGGCAATCCTCTCACCTCTGCCTCCCAAGTGCTAGGATAACAGGCATGAGCCACTGTGCCCAGCTGGGAGGGATGTTTTAACAGTCTTTTCTGATGCTTGTGTGTATACTTCTGATGCTACACCAAAACTCAACACATAGTAATTTCTTAGAGATTAATTGCAAGGTGGAATTTGAAACCACATGCATGAATGTTTCCTGATCTGTTACCCTGGCATTCATTGGTTGGTCTTGCACTTTGAATGGATCTTTTACCCAAGCATGATTTTGTTACATCACGTATTAGTCATTTGGAAAACATGGCTCACTGAGTTTTACAGATCATCTACATAGTGACACTTTTGTTATAGAATATCAACAAAATTCACATTTATTAGCATCACTGCTGACTCATGAGAAGAGTCTTTCTTATCAGGACCAGGTGCAGTGATATGCACCTGTAGTCCCAGCTACTTGGGAGGCTGAAGCAGGAAGATCACTTGAGCCCAGGTGTTTGAGACCACAGTGAGATAAGATTGTGCCACTGTACTCCAGCCTGGGCAAAAGAGCAAGACCCTGTCTCTTAAAAAAAAAAAAGAAAAAAAGATATTGTTGGAAAGCTGTCAAATTTGTGGTAGCCAATACAAGTTTTTCAAAATTTTAATTTTTACTTGAAACTTGGAATTTTTCTTGAAACCCCTTGTTTTTATTATCGGCAACAAATGGTGTGAGCTGTTTTCCTTTCATTGATAAGCTCACTTTACTCATATTTAAAAAAATGTACCAGATATCCAAGTCTGCAGCTTTGTAGTTTGTCAGTGGTCCTAAAAGTACCAATGGTGTCCTATGAAAAAAACAGAAATGCTTTTTGTGTGAGTTTCCCACTGGCCACATGGGATATTAAAAAGTCTTGTAGGCCAGACTCGGTGGCTCAGCCTGTAATCCCAGCACTTTGGGAAGCTGAGGTGAGTGGATTGCCTGAGTCCGCAGGTTCAAGACCAGCCCAGGCAACTTGGTGAGACCTATTCTCTACAATAAATAAAAAATTAGCCGGGCATGGTAGCAGCTGAGGCAGAAGGTTCACCAGAGCCCAGCAGGTTGGGGTGACTGTGAGTGTGCCATTGCACCCCAGTCTGGGCGACAGAGTGAGACTCCAACTAAAAAATAAATAAATCTTGTCTCAGAGCCCGTGAAATGAAGAATTATACTACTTCATCAAAGACGTTCTGGCTGGTTGTGGTGGCTCATGCCTGTAATCTCAGCACTTTGGAAGGCCAAGGCAAGAGGATCGCTTGAGCCCAGAAATTTGAGACTAGCCTGGGCAACATGGTGACACTTCATCTCTACAAAAAAAATCAAAAGATAGCCGGATGTGGTGATGTGCTTGTAGTTCCAGCTACTCAGGCAGCTGAGATGGAAGGGTCGCCTGAGCCCAGGAGGTTGAGGCAGCGGTGGCTCATGGTTGCGCTGCCACACTCCAGCCTGTGTGAGTGAGACCCTGACAAAAAACAAAAACAAAAACATGTTCTCCATGAAAACGGCTGGTTTCCTTCTTCTTTCTGTGAGTCTATCTTGTTGGTACAAGGCACAGAGCTCAACGACCACCACACGTGCTTTGACCCACTCTCAGCCACCGACAGTTTTATCCATTGTTCACCGTGTTTCTGTGCCATCCGTGCAAATGTTGACACAGTGGAAAAGGCAAATAATGTTTTGATCTTATTATGAAAATGGTTCTGATTTCACCAGAGGGGTCTTGGAGATACCCCCTTCCCCAGGTGTCCACAGACCACACTTAGAGAACTGCTGATAGATACATTCTGAGCTAAGACATGATGACTTTTTAATATTGAACGGTCCATCTTGACCCTTCTTTTTTTTTTTTTTGAGTTGGAGTCTCACTCTGTCACCCAGACTGGAGTGCAGTGGCCGCTCCCGGCCACCGCAACCTCAACCTGCTGGGCTCCGGCGATCCTTCCTCCTCAGCCTTCCAAGTTGCTGGAACTATAGGCGCACGTGACCACGCCCAGCTAATTTTTTGATTTATTGTAGAGATGAGGTCTCACCAAGTTGCCCAGGCGGGTCTCAAACCCGTGGGCTCAGGCAATCCACTCACCTCAGCCTCCCAAAGGTGCAGGATTACAGGCTGAGCCACCGAACCCGGCTGCTCCTTCTTCTTTTTTTGACTTGGGTCTCACTATGATGCCCAGGCTGGTCTCAAACTCCTGGGTTCAAGCAATCCTCCTGCCTTGGCCTCCCTCCTACCGGTGCACACCACCATGCTGGGCTCCATCTTACTCTTTGTGAGAGCCTCCGTATTCCACTGTGTGATGTGACGTTATTTAACCAGTTCCTTATTTATAGGCAGTCAGGTGTTTACCCCTCAGAAACAGTGTTGCAATGGATGTCCTTGTACCTGTGTGCACTTAGACATGAGATTTAGGGCTCTTGACAGGGATCTCCGAGCTACCCTCCAGGGAGACCATCCCCACCCACCAGCTGTGCTTGAGCCTCATAGATACGTGGCGCTTACAGGTGGAGCATGACGCCGCCCATGGTGAACGCTTACTACTCACCCACCAAGAATGAGATCGTGTTTCCGGCTGGGATCCTGCAGGCGCCTTTCTACACCCGCTCCTCACCCAAGTAGGCGCTGGTGTCCCATCTCACTCCTCCCCGGCCCTCGGCAGACCCCCGGCCCCCTGGCCCAGCCCTGTGGCCTGCAGCCGGCCACCCACCAAGCCAGTCTCACTGAGTGCTCTTTGCCCCGGTGGCCCCCCTTCAGATTCACATATAAAGCACAAATACTTTATATGTGAATTTCCCCCTTGGGAAAGCCACATCCTCACCCTCTCCCCAGCCCCCCACCCCCCATCCAGAGGTTTCTAACAGGGGGATGTTGGGGGCATTGCTGAGTCAAGAGCCCTCTATAGGCAAATGCCCGTTGACAACGTTTTGAAACAGGAATGGGGAGTGGAGAGGGGTGGGGCCCCCATCTCAGAGATGAAATCCACACCGTCCTGGGTTTAAATCCCAGGTCTGTTGTTTGATGGCCGGGGGGGAATTAGGCTCATCTGTGATGATGCCTAACTCTTCTGCAATGACAGTACAGTTCTGTAAAGCATCTAACACAGTGTATGGTACCCGGTGGGTGCAGCCGACCATAGCAGACTGGCTTCAGGGACCTAGTTGGAGCTCAGGCCACGGCCACGGCCACGTGCGCACAGAGCTCCACGAGACTGTCTTGTGTCTTCGAGCCCAGGAAATGAGGTCACATCCTGGGCAAGAGCGAGAGGCCTTTCCCTCAAGACATCACCCTCACTTTCTTGTCCCCCTCCCCCCCCCCAGGGCCCTAAACTTTGGTGGCATCGGCGTTGTCGTGGGCCACGAGCTGACTCATGCTTTTGATGATCAAGGTACGGGTTCCTTGGGGTCCCCTTCAGATCAGGCCCATCAGCTTCCTGGCCCAACTGTCGCTGCTTTCTGTTCCCTCATTTCTAAGGGTCTTAGCCTTGGAGATAAAGCAATCTAGCTTCAAGTCCTGGCTCTGCCACCTGCCAGTTATATGAACTTTATAAGCCCCGCCTTTTCTCCAGGCCTCTATGTTCTTGTCTATAAGGTGGGCGTGATGATTCGACCTTCCTAAGTGATTGGGAGGATCATGTGAAGTACATACTGAGAATCCTCCTCGCAGGGGGTGTTCAGTACTCGGGGGTTAGTATTAGCTGTCAGCAGGGAGTGTACTTCTTCACCACTCCAGAGACTTCTCTGGTTCAGCTGCAGTCAGAGGGGCTGAAGTCAGTCTCTCCCTCATCACCTCCTGCCTTGGGGACCCCAAAGCTGAGAGGGAAGAGGCAGAGGCCTCGGAGGCTGGGGTCTGTCTCGTGATCCCAGTGCTGCAGGCCCACCTGCCCCTTCCTAGGCATCCATTCCTCGGGGTCAGAGCTGTTAGCCAGTCTTGAAAACAAACCCAGCTCCCCTGAGCCTGTGGCCACGCTGGGGCTGGGCCTGGATTCCTTTCCTCCGTCTGCGCCCACCTCCTGTCGGCCCGTCCATCCACCCCTCAGTACTCCGAGGGGCCTCGCCCCATGTTGGCTGGAGTATGGGGTGTACATGGAGGAGCTCGCTGTTCCCTGGGAGGAGACCGGAGCAGCAGGGCCCCGTCTGTCCCATCTTCCCTTGCTGCGACACTTCCCTCTGGCCTGCAGGACGGGAGTATGACAAAGATGGGAACCTCCGGCCGTGGTGGAAGAACTCGTCCGTGGAGGCCTTCAAGCATCAGACCGAGTGCATGGTGGAGCAGTACAGCAACTACAGCGTGAACGGGGAGCCGGTGAACGGACGGCACACCCTCGGGGAGAACATCGCGGACAATGGCGGCCTCAAGGCGGCTTACCGGGTGAGGGTCCGCACCCCACACTCGCCCTGGGCCCAGGGCTGGCTCTGTCCAGGTGCCTCATAGGAAAGCATCGTTACAGACACCTGAGCCTGCCACAGAGTCCTGTGAGCAGCCCTGTGGGCGTCGGTCTCCTCATCTGTGAAATGGGCGGTCGTGAGGACTGATTGAGAGGCTGACTTAGACACACCTGGCCTGGAGCCGGACCTCCGGAGGCTTTCTGCTCTCAGTCTGGCCTGACTAGGAGGCACAGGAAGGGGTCTGGGCTGGGTCCCCCTGAAGAGCCTGCCTGTTCTCACCTTTGCAGGGGAAGCCACCACCATCAGTCAGCCGTGGGCCTGGGAGGCTCTGGAGGGCCAAGGAGGTGGGACAGGGGACATTGGTCATGGAGCCAGTTTGGGGTTCCAGTCCCAGTGTGGAGTAAGTCACTTCACCTTGAGCCTCTGTGTGTCAGGCCGTGAAGAGCGGATACCTGCATCACTGGGTTGCTGGGAAGATGAAAGAGGATGGCCCAGGTGCAGGGCCCGGCCCAGGGAGGTGCTCAGAGATGCTAGCCGTGAGGCGGGGAGAGGACGGAGACTGTGAGGGAAAAGGAGGTGTCTATCAGAGAGCAGTCCAGAGGCTCTACCCTGCCAGGACAGCAGGAGCAGAAACCCTAAGGGGTGCCATCTGTTGAGTCCTTGTAATATGCTAGGCTTGGGGTCCTCCCCAACAACTCCACCACTATACATTATAATCCCATTGTGTAGGTGAGCAAACTGAGCCTAGAAGCATTGGACAAGTTACCTAAAGTCCATGAGTCAATGACAACATAAAGAATCTTCCACCTGGCATGTGCTGTGTTTTAGACAATGCAAAGTCTGTAGCAAGACACACAGGGATCCTGCTTTCAAAAAGCTTACAATGCACCAGGCACAGTGGCTCATGCCTGTAATCCCAGTACTTTGAGAGGCTGAGGCAGGAGGATTGCTTGAGCCCAGAAGTTCGAGACCAGCCTGGGCAACATAGTGAGACTTCATCTCTACAAAAAAGAAAATTATCCAGCCGTCGTGGCATGTGCCTATAGTCCCAGTTGCTCTGAAGGCTGAGGCGGGTGGATCACCTGAGCTCAGGAAGTCAAGGCTGCAGTGGGCTATGATTGTGCCATGTATTCTAGCCTGGGTGACAGAGTGAGACCTTGAATAAAGAAAAAAAATGGGCTGGGCTCAGTGGCTCAGCCTGTAATCCCAGCACTTTGGGAGGCCAAGGCGAGTGGATTGCCTGAGCCCACTGGTTTGAGACCCACCCAGGTAACTTGGCGAGACCTTGACTCTACAATAAATCAAAAATTAGCCAGGCGTGGTAGCACGCGCCTGTAGTTCCGGCTTCTTGGAAGGCTGAGGCAGAAGGATTGCCGGAACCCAGCAGGTCGAGGCTGTGGTGGTTGGGAGCACTCCAGTCTGGGTGACAGTGTGAGACTCCAACTCAAAAAAAAAAAAAGAGGCAATGAACAGCAGTCACCCTTGCTTTTGTCCTGCCTGTTGTGTCCTTTACCTGTCTTCTAATAAACCTATCATTCTTTTTTTTTTTTTAATTATAATCCCATTGTGTAGGTGAGCAAACTGAGCCCAGAAACATTGGACAAGTTACCTAAAGTCACCCACCTCGATCTGCTGAGCTCCGGCCATCCTTCCACCTCAGCTTTCCGAGTAGCTGGAATTACAGGCATGCGCTACCATGCCCGGCTGATTTTTTCATTTATTGTAGAGATGAGGTCTCGCTGCCCAGGCGGGTCTTGAACCCGCGGGCTCAGGCAATCCACTCACCTCAGCCTCCCAAAGGCGCGGGATTACAGGCTGAGCCACCGAACCCGGCTATCATTCTTAATCAAAAAAAGAAAGAAAGAAAAAAGTGGAGGCTATTAATGGAGGCCGGAGGGGGAAGATAGGCAAGTAAACGCCTCCACTTGTTAGGGGTTGATGAGGGGACGGATATAAGCTCAGGCAAAGTGGTAATGAGTAAGGCAGGAGGGTGACCAAGGTGAGCTTTCTGGAGGGCGTGATGTTGGACCTGAGACCGGAGTGATGAGGGAGAGGCAGGGAAGAGCTGGGAAAAATAGTCTCAGCCAAAGGAAGAGCAAGTGCGGAAGCCACAAGCTCGACGCAGGCCTGGGGGGGCACAACAGGAAGGAGGGCCGGGTGGATAGAATGAGTGCAGGGGCCTGAGCGCTCCCAGCCTCTGTTGGCTGAGCCAGAAGCTTGGGTTTTATTCTGGTTGCAATGGAGAGGCACTGCAGGGTTTTTAAACAGAGGAATGACATGATCAAATCTATCCTTTAAGACAAGGGTCGGGCTGGGCGTGATAGCTCATGCCTATATTCTCAGCACTTTGGGAGGCTGAGGTGGGGGGATTGCTTGAACCCAGGAGTTCAAGACCAGCCTGGGCAACATAGCAAGACCTTGTCTCTACAATAAATCAAAAATGAGCCGGGTGTGGTGGTGCACTCCTGCAGTTCCAGCTATTCGGGAGGCAGAGGTGGGAGGATCACCTGAGCCCAAGAGGTCAAGGCTGTGGTGAGCCGTGTGCACTCTAGCCTGGGTGAAAGAGTGAGACTCCAACTCAAAAAAACAAACAAAACAAAAAAACGGGTCAGCAAACCCATAGCCAAGTCTAGCCTGTCTTTGTAAATAAACATTTTTGGGGACACAGCCATGCCCATTTGTTGACATGTTGTCTGCAGCTGCTTCCACACCACAATGACAGAACTGAGTCACAGCAGCCGGGGCCACTACCCATAAAGCTGAACGTACACTCTGGTGTTTCATGGAAAAAGTTTACCTCGCCCATTTTATAAGGTTCACCGAAGTTGCTTTGTGGGAAGGGAATTGGAATTGGCTCAGTCCGATCAAGGAGACTGGTTAGAAAGCTGCTGTGAGGTTGTCTGGGCAAGAGATGGGGCAGCAATGGGATGGGTGAGTCAGATTTGGGGTGTTTGGCTCGAGAGAAAGAGAACTGAAGAAGGGTTCTGGGCTTGGGCCCTGAGTAGGTGAATGGGGTGACATTGACCATGATGAAGAAAGCACGCACGTGTGCGTGAGAGAGAGAGACCTGTCTTTCTGTCTGTGCCGTGTTAACTGTGAGATGCATCTTGGACTCCAGCCAAGGCAGCTGAGCACACAAATCAGAGGAGAGGCTGGAATGGCAGGTATGCATGTGAGAGCTGTCCACATGGAGATATTTAAGCCATCGGGCCGAGTGAGTGCAGAGCAAGGAGAGGGCTCCTCTAGACAGAGCCCAGGCTCAGACCCCCAGAGAGCAGCTCCCGTCAAGACAGGGGAGGGCTCCCCAAGATCTCCCACACCAGCCCCGCCCAGCCTCACAGGCCTGGGAGCCGCTGAGCTGTGGTCCTCTCTCCTCCCAGGCTTACCAGAACTGGGTGAAGAAGAACGGGGCTGAGCAGACACTGCCCACCCTGGGTCTCACCAACGACCAGCTCTTCTTCCTGGGCTTTGCACAGGTGAGTTCATCATAGGTGAGGGGAAATGCCACCCCCGGGTGTGTCCTGCCGTCTTGATGCACCCAGCTGAGAGCCCAAAGGCAAGTTCTCCTCAAATTGAGAAGTTCCTGAGTGATAGGACTGTCCAAGGAGGCGAGCTTCCCGTCATTTGAAAGATTCAAGCAAGGGCCAAGAATGCTCATGAAAGGATTCCTGGGCAACCCCCTCAAGTCCCCTCCTGCTCTGGGAGCCTTTCTGCCCTCTCAATAAGTCCTGCCTTCTCAAAAACAAAAAACAAAAGGGGATTCCTGTATCCGATAGATGAGAGGATAAAGCAGGTGATCACTAAGGTCCCTTCTGGTTCTATGGTTCTAGAAATTTCTTAAACTCTCAATGCCCCAGGCTGGCCCTTGAGTTGGCATTCAGCTCATAGACTTCTGTTGGCACCCAGCGCTACCAGGCCATTAGACAATTTGTTCTGCCCAGGAAATGAAAGATCTGGACTAAATCCGAGGTTTTCAAACATGTTTGGGCAGAATCCCCCATTCAGATGAAATCTAGTGTAGATGCCCAGACAGACCGAGATGATGCTTTGGTTGAAGAAACCTGGTTTGGAGACCGCTACATTAGGATGCTGGTGTGGGGGGTGGTACACATCAGCCACTGTCCCTTCCTCACCCATGCGGCTGGCCGTCGGGACTCCCTGGGAGCCCCAGACCTGATGGGGCTCATTCCCCTGCTGGGGCGAGGGGGGCAGTCTGGCAGCCTCAGGGCCCCCAGTGACCCCAGCCTTTCGCTGTCGCCCCCAAAGGTCTGGTGCTCTGTCCGCACGCCCGAGAGCTCCCACGAAGGCCTGATCACCGACCCGCACAGCCCCTCCCGCTTCCGCGTCATCGGCTCTCTCTCCAATTCCAAGGAGTTCTCAGAACACTTCCGCTGCCCGCTCGGCTCCCCCATGAACCCTCCTCACAAGTGTGAAGTCTGGTAAGGGGTGAAGCGCAGAGAGCCAAGACAGAGGAGGAGAAGGGGCTAAGGACAAGCCCCCAGTGGGCCGACACATCTGTCCCCCATCCAGCCTCCAGGGCATCGCCCAGCCTGCTTGGCCACACCAGGGCCCCCTTCCCCGTGCTGGAGGGTTTCAGCCGGAAACGAGCCTGAGCCCAGGATGTAGGTTCTCAGCATAACCCAAGATTTGATCCCCCATGAAGACCCTGTCGCCCCAGGCACATGCGTGTCAACGTCCACGGGCATTTGGGTGTCAGGCTGGTGGCTGACCAGACCCGGGCCCCACGCCGACAAGCGCCAGATACATCACGATACCACTGTGTCAAATGCTTTCAAGATATATTTTTGGGGAAACTATTTTTTAAACATTGTGGAATACACTGGAAATCTTCAGGGAAAAAAATGCATTTAAAACACTTTTTTTTAAAGGAAAGGATTGGTATATTTATTATGTTCTGTCTTTCTATATAACCTGTGGATAAGGGAAGCCTCACTGACTGACCCCTCCCTTTCCCCCTCCCTTGTGCGGTTGGACTGAGGCAGGGGTCCCCGGGACCCTGAGCAGGTCCTCAGGTCAGAGAACTGCCTCGGCCCTGGGACGTGCGATTTTGGCTGTGGTCACCTGGTGCAGACAGGAGGGATGTGGAGGCCAGAACAGAGGGAGGATCCAGCTCGGGGCCCAGCTTATGGGCACTGGCTCCCTCAGCTAGCCTCCCCTGTCCCCAGAGTCCAACAGTGGGACCTCTAGCAAGGAAGTTCCAGTCCACAAATTCGCTGCAGGGGATGGATGGCCGTGGCAGAATGAGGCCAAGATAGGGCCCTCAAACGCCCTCGGGGGGCACTGAGTGCCCTGGATCCTGGGCCACAGGAGCCCTGTGGGTGGAAACGCCCCTGTCAGATGAACAATGCTGTGCCACAGAGGTCCCCTTTCGGGCCCTCCTCTTTTGACCGCCCCATGTCTGTCCCAGGGGCCTGTTGCATCTCTGCAGCCACTTTGGGGCCTGCCTGGTTGACCCTCTTCCCCGGGGGAAGGAGACAGAAAACTGCTCTTTAATCCCGTTGGGCCCAGATCTTCCCCTGAGCTCTGTCCTCCACCTGGCCTGGGCCTGGCTCCCAGGTCCTGTTCTCTAGTGCCTTACCTGAGGCTGCAGCCCCTGGACTCCACTCCAGGGAGACAGCCCCTGCCCCCAGATGCCCTTTGATCTCCTCAGTGTAGCCCCTAAGTGTCCCGACTGGAACACAGGCCATTGTCTCACTCCCAGTGCCCGCAGGGCTGCCCCTCACAGCCACCCAGGAGCTCCGGCCTGCAGGTCAGCAGCATTGGGCATCGGGAGTCTGAGGAACCACTGAACTGCCCCGGGCTCCAGCCCACAGTCGGCCTCTGGGTTGAATCAAGACAGCACTTGCCACCAGGCAGATTCCTCTCCTTTGGGGGAGGCTTCTAGCCCAGGGGGCTATGAGGGGACGGTCCCCCAGTCCAGTCTGGCCTGCAGTGTCTGTTGTCCCCTCCCTGAGACCCCTCCCTAAGCTTCTCCAGCAGAGATTCATCGGCTCTGCCAGGTAGGGCCACCCGCAGCATCCCCTGCTGTCCTGTGGGGAAGCAAAGCCCTGTGGCAGACACGAGCAATCAGACCCTGCCACGGCCACTGTTTCCCAGCTGGCAGCCCAGGTCCCCTGGCGAGGCCCTGCCCCCACAGCACACTCCCCTCACCCAGGACGCCAAATCCTCCTTGCCTAAGAGGAGCAGACAGCTCAGTGACTGCCCTGCCAGTCTCAGAGCTGGCGCAGGAGTGCTGGGAATGGACTCCAGATGAGGCCTGGGTTCCAGCAAGCAGCAGGCAGTCCCGGTGGCTCCTCAGAGGGAAGATGGGACAGAAACCAGAGCCAGGAGCCAGCCATGGGCACCTTGCCACATAGAGGTGGTCTCTCCCAGCTCTGGCATCCTTTGCGTAACCTCTCCCCGCACCCTCCTGCCCCCCCTACTTTCCCCATGAAGGGGGGCTGTCTAGAGAGTGTCAGCACCACGGCCTGGGACCTCCCAGCCAGAAGCAAGTGTCCCAGGGCTGGGGGTACGGCCAGGGGAATGTAGACAGTGCTCATGGCTCAGGTGTGCCAGGGCTGGAGGGGGCAGGGGAGAAGAGAGAGGGCTCATGTCCAGCAGGGATAGAAGCAAAGGAAGCACCCCCCCACACCTCTTACCCCCTTCCAAGCTTCTGGAAAGGCTGAGGTGAGACCCCTCCCTGAGGGCCGGGAGCCATAAGGCTGGCATCTCTGGGTACGCAGACATGGGGTTGGGAGCTGGGAAACTATTTTTTGTATTATTATGTTTTGTGCTACTGTAGTTTTGGTGTGGCACTGTTGTAACAGAAGTAAAGTACTTGTACCAAGGGCCACATGTCCGAGTGTCTGTCCTCCCGGGGTGGTGTGTGTCCTGTGGGGTCACGGGAGGGCCCCTGGCCAGCACAGAGCTGCCCACCGCAGCCTCCCCAGGGCTGACTGCACCTCCCCCAGAGCAGAGGCCTTGAACCCTGACAAACACCAAAGTTATTCTCAGTACCTAGCCACTCTCCCTTCATCCATATGGTTGTGCGGGCGCCTCCTGCTGGTGAGAATGATGCACGTCACCACCTGGGCCCAAGGGATCTCATGGTAAAAATAATTTTTCCAATATTTTGGAGCAAGGAAGTTTCCAGGTCTCAGATACTTGGACAGGGCAGGCAGCAGAGAAGTTCAAAGATGTTCAAGGAAGAGATTCTGACATACACTTATGCCTCCTCCTGGGTTTCACATATATTCTTCCCTCTGCCTGGAATATTCTTCCAGGACTTCTCTGCCTGATAAACTCCTACCCATCCTTCAAAGCCCAGCTTGGCATCACCTCCTCTAGGAAGCTCTTCCTAACCTCCCAAGCTTCCTTTTCCTATCAGAGTATCTTAGTTTGCTAGGTGTGTTCATTTGCCAAGGCTGCCGGACCCAAGTGCCACCAACGTGTGGCCTTACACAACAGATCTATATTTTCTCACAGTCTGATACCAATGTGTTGGCAGTGTTGGTTCTTTCTGAGGGTTGTGAGGAAGAATCTATTTCTAGCTCCTGGTGTCCCTCTGGCATCCTGGGTGCTCCTTGGCTTGGGAAAGCATCGCCCAGGTCTCTGCCTTCATACTCTATTACGACGTTCTTCCTGTGTGCCTGTCTGTCTCTGTGTCCAGATTTCCCCCTTTCATAAGGACCCAGTCATATTGGTCTAGGGCCACCCTAATGACTTCTTATTAGCTAATTACATCTGCCATGACCTTGTTTTCCAATAAGGTCACATTTTGAGGTGCTGGGGTTAGGACTTCAACACATGAATGGAGGGGGGTGGATCATTCAACCCATAACACAGAGGTCCCAATTCTCTAGGCCTTGGAGATGCCAACTGGGACATGGCAGGTTCCAGTGACCGCCGGTGCAGGGGTGGGTGGGTGGGTGGAAGGCTGCTAGGGGCCATAAGCAATGTACGGCTGATGGGGACCATGTCAGGGGGCTAGTGAGCCCGGTGGGCTGGGGTGACCAGAGGAGACTTCCTGGGGAGGTGACGGAAGTGAGGACCGGGTCCCCATCCCATGGTGAACAGGGATGGCTGCACCATTCCCGATTTGAGGGACAAGACGCACCCTGCCTCTGCTCCTGCTTTGCTTTATTTATTTATTTTTTAATTTTGAAGATGTGGGGTACAATTCAAGGTTAGATATACAAATGTTCATTATGCAAGTACCCTTGTTGATGAGGTGTGCCCCCCTCCCCTGGCAGATTCCCACTACTGTCAATTCCACCCCCTCCCACTCCTGGCAGTTTCCAACTACTGCCAATCTCATTCTGATAGTATTATGATAATTGTTCAAGCTCCACTTATGAGTGCGAATGTGCGGTACTCAGTTCTTTGTTTCTGGGATAGATCACTCATCATTATTAACTCTAAGTCCACCCAAGTTGCCCTGCCTTGCTTTAAAAGGAGTCAGGCATTTCTCTCGAACCCAGTTTCTCTAGCTATAGGATGGGCAATTCACTGGTTCTCTCTGCTGTGACCCACAAATATTGGGGAGATTGTGAGGACACTTGAGACGAAGTGCTTTGAGCTGCTCAGCGTTCACACGAGGTGTGTGTCTCCCCACAGGCGTGAGCCCACAGCCCCCGGTGTCTCTCACCTGGACAGCTGCTGCAGCCTCCGCCCCCGACTGCAGGTGCTGTCCTCTCGCCCTGTCCCCAGCACCCACTTGCCCGGCGGGACCTGCACCCTCCCTGCCCTTCTCCCCCAAGTCTCCCACCCACCTGAAGCCTCTGTCTGCACCTGAAGTAGGACGAGCCCTTTCCTGCCTCAGGCCCTGTGTCCCCCCCACCACCTTTAGTCTGGAATGTTCTCTCTACACGACCCCCCTTGCTAATGGGAAGATACATGGATTCTGTTTAAACCGTCCATGTATGGCGTGCCCACGTGAGTCAGGCTGTGTGCTGGGTCCTCGCTCACAGCCCCTCGTTGAACAGTTTTCTGAGATGGTTACTTTATCAGCCTTGTTCTCCTGATGGGAAATCATTCAGGGCTGCTGAGTTGCAGGGGAGTAAGAGGCAGAGCTGAGTTCTGAACCCAGGCAGCCAGCGAGGAACTGCTTGGGAAAATATCACACACACACACACACACACACACACACACACACACACACACACACGCATGCAGGGTGAGGGTGTCACAGCTGCCCCTGCTTTCCCAAGAAGCAAGGCAACTTTTTCCTGCCAGACTTCCAACCCACTCCCAACCCTGAGCCTGAGGGTGCCTGTCTTCCCAGCATGCCCTCTCCCAACAGCCAAGTGGGCAGGATTCTTCCTCTTCCCTGCAGATCCCTGGGGCTACTTGCTCCTCCCCTCCTGGGTCTCCTTTCTTTGTTAACAGTAGATCCCATACCCTCACCCAGCTCAACACATGTTCCCCTCCCCAAGCTGGAATGAAAACTCCAACCCAAGCTGGGCAAGATGGCTCACACCTGTAATCCCACCACTTTAGGAGGCTGAAGCAAGAGGATTGCCTGAGCCCAGGGGTTCGAGACCAGCCTAGGCAACTTGGCAGAGACCTTATCACTACAATAAATCAAAGAACTAGCTGGGTGTGGTGGTGCCCACTTGTAGTTTTGCTACTTGGAAGGCTGAGGCAGAAAGATGGCCTGAGGACAGCATGTCGAGGCTGTGGTGGCCATGAGTTTGTCACTGCACTCCAACCTGGGTGACAGAGTAAGACTCTCACTTAAAATAATAATAGCAAATAATATAAATGTTAAAGAATCTAGTGCAACAATAAACCTTATGAGAAATGGGCAAGACTTTTGCAAAGGAAACTATACAGCTTGACTGAAGAACATAAAATCCCTGAAGAAATGCAGATAAACACCCTGATCATGGTGGGAGGGCCCAATATAATAGACAACAAAATTCGCCCTCAAATGAAGGTAGAATTTCAGTGTACTGGCAACCCAAATCCCGAGATAATTTTCCATGGAACTTGATCAGCTGATTCATGTAGAGGAGAAAATGCTCAATAGTCAAGACAACTTTTAAAACAACAGAACAGCCGGGCTCGGTGGCTCAACCTGTAATCCCGTGCTTTCGGAGGCTGAGGTGAGTGGATTGCCTGAGTCTGCGGGTTCGAGACCCGCCTGGGCAGCGAGACCTCATCTCTACAATAAATAAAAAATCAACTGGGCGTGGTAGCGCATACCTGCAATTCCGGCTACTTGGAAGGCTGAGGCAGAAGGATCGCCGGAGCCCAGCAGGCGAGGCTGCGGTGGCCGGGAGCAGCCACTGCACTCCAGTCTGGGGGACAGAGTGAGACTCCGACTCAAAAAATAAAACAAAATAAAATAAAATGAGGCTGAAGGCTGGGCTCGGTGGCTCAGCCTGTAATTTCAGCACTTTGGGAGGTCGAGGTGAGTGGATTGCCTGAGTTCTCAGGTTCGAGACCAGCCCGGACAACTTGGTGAGACCTCGTCTCTACAGTAAATCAAAAATAGCCAGGCGT